ATTTCATGTTGATTGGTGCAGCTGTTTTTGTGCTACAGTTGACCAAAAATCACTGGAAAAAAAACAGGACGAAAACAAAATGACTCCCGTTTACGCTTCGCGTGTGGAGGTCATAATGACTGTAAACACAGAGGAACTTCTGAGTTTGGTAAAACTTGGAAAAACATTTGTTAAATAGTTGATGTGAAGAAACAAGACACAGCAGCGCAAGTTTCTGCCGCGGTGTAGGATTTTCATTTTAGAATCATGAAGTCTCTCATTCAGCTGCAGGCAGTGCTGGCTCTGGCCATTTTGGTGCCCTAGGCGAGTTGAAGCGCACCCCCCTCCCCAAACTATGTCCCACCCACCCCAATTTAAACCCCTAAAAACAAGTTTGACAGTTAAATGTACTATGTATGGTAATCTTAGATTTATTACTTATTTATTTGCTTTCCCAGAAAGCAAATAAATAACAACATATGTCAACTTGTACGGATTGTCCGTAAGTTATAAGGATTTTACGGAGCAGGACGAGTCAGTGCAATGTCATTCAAATGAGAGAGAGGGTGGGGGTGAATGTTGCATTGGGTGGGGGATGTTTTATGGGTAGAGTAGCTTATTTTTCCTGTAATACTTCATCATAGTTTTTTAAGACAAAGCTAATTGAAAGGGGCGCTGAGCAGAGTTACAAGCAGGGATTACAAATGATTACTTTTTTCTTCTGCAGTTCGGCGCCGCCTCCAGAAGATGGCGGTCTAGGCGACCGCCTAGTTCGCCTATGCCAAGAGCTGGCTCTGGCTGCGTGGCTCGGCTCAGAACTACAGTAAAATACATGACTGTAATTTGTTTGGTGGGATACAAAAAACAACACTGTCCTCAATTCTTCTTGTATCAACCTGAAGAACTGTTGGCATTGATCCATAAATTACGCACAACTTCACGCAGCAACAAATCTATTGTCTGCAACTTGCGGAGCTGAGGAATCATCACAGGTGAGCTGTTTTAAATTAATCTGCTGAGTTGACAGTTTTTTTCTCAGTGAGAATTAAAATGTTTCTTAGACAATTCACACATTATATTCTCCCCAGCTGTGTGTGCACCTCGCAGGCCTGCGCTCTGTGTGTGTTTCCAACTATGTGACAAAATATAAAAACTTTACAGTTTACAGTAGACAGAACTGAGATTCTTTTGATCATTTTTAGGCTGCTCTGTTTTTCTGTCTGAGCTTAAATGATTTTCAGTCCCGGGGTTCAGTTTCATGATCGTTCAAGTTTAAACAAAAAAAACTAAATAATAATAATAATAAAAAAAATTCTAACACCATGTTCAGAAGCTCCTTACATCCAGAAAACACAACAGAGTCATATTTCTGTGGATTCCGGTCAGCTTCATGAATTTGTGGGTTAAAACTGTCGACTGAAAAACTGCGTGGCTGCAGCACATTCTCACGGCAGGTGAAAAATGTGTGTTTTCACACAACGTTTGTTTTGATACATCCCAACATGGGTATATCTTGAGCCCAAACCCCGGTTTTCTACTTTGATTAAGTTCTTTTAGTTAAACATTAAAATGTTTGGTATCTACAGAAACAACAGAATCTTGGCTACAAGCTGGTAAAAAAAAAGAAACATTTCTATGCACCAATCAAGACAGTTAAAATTACAAGTAGTTGAAGATAAAACTGTGAAAGGTTAAAAAATTTGGCAACTCAGCGATATCAAAATATTATTTGTGTTAAACAGGAGGCAAAATGTGTTCTTTTTGTTTTTGATATTTTTTAATTACCACTACTTTTATAGGGTTGTGTATTATGTATTCATGATTAAATGCAGCAAAATAAACAATTTCAAAGGTTACAGATCTTTGTAATACTTAGTTTATTTACATAATGACTTTAATWGCTRGATGTTCGGCCCCTGAGCTGTTGACCTGCATTAACTGTGCCCCCTGGAGCAATTTAGTTGAATAACCCTGAACTAGGTCTTCTACTTCCACAARTTAGCTGAACTTCAACAAGTAGGCTAGAAGCCACGGCAAAAAATAAAAAAACAACTTAGAAAAACTATCGCAGTTATTCTGTTCAATACACCGCTCCCTCACTTTTGACGCCCGTCATGGCGTTCCCACCAGACTTGGTGACATAGGTGCAAAGGGTCAATAGGCCACTGTGGCATGGCCTAAGCTTTTTTCCATAACATCACTTTTACTTTTATACTTTAAGTAGTTTTAAAACCAGTCCTGTTACACTTTTACTTGAGTAAAAAGCTTGAGTTGACACTTCCACTTCCAAAAACGTATTTTTAAACCTTCGTATTTCTACTTCTACTCAAGTAATGAATGTGAACACTGTTAAAACCACATTAGATTAAAAGAAAAGCTATTCTGATAAGGTGTCTTTTAGTGTCGGCCCTTTCTCCATTTTCTCTCAGCCTGTCTGCACAAACGTCTGAGAAGCAGGTGGTTTGGTTCAACCACAGAGATGGAGACCAGCTCTGTTGAACAGCTTCCATCAAAAGTGAAACTCAGACATGTGAAAATGTCCACTGATTGAACACAATGTGTTGTGTTTTGCTTTGAGTTAGAAAAATGAGTGTGAAAAGGAGGCGTGTCTGGTTTCTCTTACCCTCTTTGAAGGAGGAGGAGGAGGAAGATGAAGACCATCTGAAATGATGACAACTCCCCAGCTGTTGGACAGATTTGTCTTTTGGAGACTGTGTGGAGGATGGCACACTCTGAACTGTTTTATGTTCATCCTCACCGCTATCCACACCCCGGAGGAAAGTGCTAAAGAAGAGATGGAGTCTGATAGGAACCTGTTCTTAGAGCTTGTTGGTCCAGCACCTTTAGAAAAGGAAACAAAAGCAGATTCCTCTTGATAAAATGAAACAGTAAATGCTTTGTGTGTGTGTGTGTGTGTGTGTGTGTGTGTGTGTGTGTGTGT